ATACTGACACGGCTTCGGGAAGGAGGGCCGCGGGCAAAAGGATGTCAGGCAAGGACGAACGAAGTCAACTTTCTCTCGCGTGGAGGAGGAGGAGCTTGGTCGGCTCGAGACCGAGAAAGGGAAAGGCCAGACACGCGAACGGGAGAGGGAAGGGAGGCAGAGCTCGGGTGCGTGAGTTTAGGGATTTATATATATATATATATAATTATATGCGATTTATTCACGCGCGGCGTCGTAACAAAATGAGTGTCCTCCATAAGCAAAATCGACGCCCGGACGTGCCAGTGCAGTCCGTTTTGTCATCCGGCAATCGGGTAAAAAACGCGTCAAAATTCAAATTTCACAAAATTTCGACCCGCGATCGATCGCTTCAAAAGGTTTTTTCGAGCCTTCGACAGATAACAGTGGAAACGATGTGAATCGTGGCGATCAGATGTATCGACTCTCCGAATTGCGAAGTTTTGTACGCGCGGGAGTGCTAATTGTGCAAAAGGCCACCCTAAGGCTCAGGAAGGTCATATAAGAATACCTTTTGAGTTTCCTCATGTTAGTTTCATCCTTCTAAGTGCTAGAAGTCGATACCACACACACGGAACTCCAGAAGGGGACAGAAGTTGGTCGAACTTCTAAAATGAGGCGGGTCCCATTTCTAAGGTTCTAAGATAGTCAAAGGGAGATCCCTAAGGATAGATCCTAAATCCTAAGAGGAGGACTAGACCTCACCAAAAATGAGGTCAACAAAATGCCACTTATGCTTAATTGTTTGGAAAAAAAAAGTATAATTTTTAGTTTTAAAAATAGAAGAATATATGAAAATGCCGAAAATATTTTTTGTTTATTTATTTCTTTTAAAAAAGAAACTTAACAGTACCAACTCGTTTTCTAAAAATATAAAACAAAAGAAAAATAAAAAGAAAACAAACTAAAAGCAGACATAAAAAATAAGAAACGAGGAAGTGATCCCAAATGGCCGGAAAGCTTCCTGCAACGGCATTTCTCTCTGCTCCTACAAAGTGATGTGCAGAAAGCAGGCATTTAATTTTATTGTGACCTCTATTTGTTTTTATTTCAGAAGCTGGATATTTTGGGTGAGACTCTGTCACTGCTTCCCGAAACTGAGGGACCTCTTAATCAACCTAGGTCTACTTCAGTGTCAGATTCATTGAATACACTTCATGACAAGCACCAGAGATCTTTAATCAAGTTTAATGAAGAGGTGTCCTCAGTAAGTACTGAATTTTTGAAATTTGCAGTTTCCATTTTCTGTTTATATTTGTCCTAATGGAGGTGGCCAATGGTTTATGTGCTACAATTTTTTTTTCTCTGGTGGAGTTTGATAGTTTTTTTTTTTTTTAATCTTTTTGGTTCTTACGGATTTATAGTTTAAATAAACATATGTTTATTCAAACATTTGAAAGTGTTGTTCTCACTTCAAAGACGAAATCTATAGCAAAAAAATCAAATTAGTTGTGGTTTGCTTTTGTTTCTTTACTCCTGGCTATATATATATATATATATTTTTTTTTTTTTTGAAAGGGCATAGATGAGAACATTAGGAGGAATGTATGGTAAAATAATGTTGGATAGAGTGCATACTTTTGTATGAGAGCCAATCTGGAGTGAAACTTTTTTGATGATAAGAGAGTGAAACACTGGCAATATGGTTAGTGCATGTATTATTGAGAGGCAAATGGCTCACCAACAATACATTACCAATAAAGACCAGTAGGTGAATTATTTTAAAATTAGGTGGGTAGAATTTAAGACTTTATCAAATCGTTTGAGCTGAGGTATTGAAAATGAGACTGGGGATTGAATTAGAAGAAAGAAATATTCAAGGTTCAACGGAGAGTGAACCGGATATTAAGCTGAACAATGTAATAAATATTAAAATTATTTTAATGTTATTTAAATAATATAATAATGAGGTAATAATAATATTTTTTTTCTATAAAATATTTTTTTTGTTGACACTTTATTTTTGAATTTTTTAAATAATATTCTTAGTCAAATTTTAGAGACAATCAATTTACAGTTTTTTACTTTTTAATTTTTATTTCTATCCATCTGATCAATATAAAAGCTTAGATTGATCAATACTAAAACCAACTACTTGTTTAAAAATGGAATATATTCAATGGTTCAACAACCCCACTTTTGATTGATTCCGGGCTCCGTTTGGGACCGCGACTTGAGAGCGTCATGGCCTGTCCCTGTGAATTTCTGTTCTTTGGCGGGGAGTCCCGCACGCGGCGGGACGAGATTCAGGCAAAAAGCCGGCCGCAGGATGGATCCCGCAACACAATTTTCTCGATCGACTTCTTACGCATTACCCCTCATCGATCCTCCCCCTCCCTCTTTCATCTTCTCCTCCTCGTTCGTTCGGCTTGTTACGCGAAGGCAAGTGCTGCGATCCTCCCCCTCCCTCCTTCCTTTCTCGCGTTGCCCACATTCTCGGTTTGTCTTCCTCCTAACCATTGTCTCCAAGCTATGGTCACGGTTCGTCTTCCTTCTTCGCCATCATCCTCTTCTTTTCGTTCGTCTTCATAGTCTTTTATTCACCGAGAAGTGCAGTTTAATTGGGCACGATTCGTCTCTTCTTTTCATTTGATTTACTATTTTTCTTTTCGTAGTTCTTTCTAATCTCACCGAGAAATGCAACTAAAAGGGGATTTGAAATATATGCAAATTTGAAAGCATTTTGAATATGTTCAAATTATTTCATTGTTGTCCTTGTAGTTATTAAAGTTTAGGTGTTAGATATGTAAGCACAAAGGAATTGTGTTATATTTATGTAAACGATTCTTTATGGCTGAAGATATTGGTGGCTAAACATAATTGGGTAAGTGTTGACCTCATTTTTGGTAAAGTCATTCCTCTTCATAGTGCTTAGAATCTAGCCATATGATTCCCTTTTGACTATCCTGGAAGACTAGAGATGAAACCCATCTACATAAAAATTCAAACCACCTCCTTACTCTTTTTGAAACCCTACTTGGATGGTCACAAGCCTCCAGCACTTGGAAGGTTAGTACCAACATGTGTAGGCCTAATGAGAGTTCCCATAGGGTTTAAATGTCTCGGGAAAATCTATTACGACTTTCGTGCATTCGCGGAAAAATATCATGATTCAGATGACCGACACTCATAAATGTCAAAATTCACATCACTCGCACCTTTTTTTGTTTTACATTTCATTGAAACTAAAATCAATTTTCAAAATGATAGATCACGAACCAAAATTTTGACGTAATTTGAATTTGACGCGTTTTTTGCCTGAGCATCGACGAGGTCCAAACGACTTCGAATGACAAAACGGACTGCGTCGGTGCGTCCGGAATGTCAAAATTACATAGAAAGGATATTCATTTTGATATGGTTTCGTGCGGGGTCCGAATCGGCGAATTTTAAATGAAAAGTTAAAAGATTGAGTGAAAAAAAAAAGAAAATTTGTATCCCTAAATCCCTAACCAGTCTGCCTCTCCCCTCTTCCTCCCATTCGCGATTCCAACTGGTCCTCTTCCTCCCATTCGCGATTCCAGCCTGCTCCTAGGTTCCCCTCGTCGCGAAGCTTCGGTCCAAGGTCCCCTCCCCCGTGCTCAGGTAAGGCTTCCACCTACTCCCTGCCGCGCTCTGGCTTTCTGCTCGCCACTCCCACTCCCACTCCTGCGCCTTTTGTCGCTTCTTGCTCATCGCCTTCAAGCGTCGGCTCACCCGCAGGTAGGTTTGGGTAAGCTTTTCTCCTTTCCTCTGGCTATATAAACCCCATTTGGGGAGGTCTTTTGGGTTGGCCAAAAGTCTGGAGAGGGTGGAGGTGCTGCCAAAATTTAGTAGATTGGTCGGTATTCTTGATTGGTGACTCAATATTCTTGCGTGACTGTTTGTTTGGCTAGTGAGGCATCATTTTCTTGTTTGGTTGTTCGAGATTCTTGCTTTACTGCGCGATGCTCTTTTTGGTTTGCTCGACATCCCTGCTTGGCTTGCTTGATCTTCTCACCAACATTGTGGTCTTAAAATAAAAAAACAAATCGTTCAATAAGATTCTCTTAAATCTGAAGTGGATGCTCTCTTCCAATGTTCTTTACTCTATCAGTTTTTTTTTTAATTTTTTTTTATGCATGGAGACATTCTTTTAACTTCCAGTATTTGGATATGCAAGCCTGTGTTCCCTCAAAACGTGCTTTCTCTGGATAAACCATTTTTTTTAGAAAAGGTTCGAATGTAAACGTCTCTTTCACTGTTGAGCTTAAAGTTTATAATTTTTGTGTCTTTCGTAACTCTCTTCTGAAGGATCAGGTATGTATGTGAAATTTGAGTTTTGGGTGGTAGACGTGTTAATACATAGGAATTCAATGACCTGCGCATGTATATTCTTCCTTGATTTTCGGCCTCTGTTGCTACTATGTCGTATTTGCATCCATGAAAAGAACGCAACGATGGTTACATTGATATTGGACCGGGGTAATGCTTCCTTAATTTCACGCTATAGCTCTTTACTGTTGTGTACCCTATTGCTTTGTTCTTGTTTTTAGCAGAATTTTGCAAATCTGCTCTGTTCATGTGTCCACAAGTCTTGCTTGGCTGTAGTTTAATATTTTGTTTCATTCAATTTTGTATATGAATGCTAAAGTGCCCTAGATTCTTCTATATGATAGGGAGTCCAGCCGTGCAACACTTTTCTGAGGTTTTGGAATTAGAAGAATTACATACATACTATCAATTCTTATTCAGATATGTAACACCTCATTTTGCTGAGGACAGGTGTATGTACATACAATCGATTCCTTAGTATTTACATATCTAACACCCAAATCCAATATTGCATATGCATATATAATTAAACACTTACCTATTCTATACTTAAGATTTCAGATTTACATATATACCACTTAATTCCTTTATATTTACTATTTAATTTCTAAACTTCAATTCTTTACATGTGTATCACTCCATTTTTATATGAAAAGTGAACTTTATTCTGATTGGGTGTACTCTTGATGTGGAAAGTATGTGAATATTTAAAAATTGGGTTGGCATACTTGGTTCTTTTTGCAATGACTTGCTGCTACACTCAATTCCTTTTGAAATATTATTTTGAGAGCAAAGAAGGCATATTAAATTATTCTGATATTGGTAAAGTTTGCATCCGTTGAAGCTGCAGTCGGTTTTGCTTTGGTTTGTGAAAACTGAGCCTCAAAATTTTGGGATGTTTTCTTTAGTTTGCTGAAGCTGAACTTTGGAACTGGATGTGTGGAAAGAATTGCATACAGTTTTTTTTTTTTTATTTGTTTCATTCTGGAGAGCTACAGCTAGATTTGTTTTATGATTCCGATATTTTAGAAACAATCAGCTAGCTTTCCTTGGCTTTAGATTTTGAATATTTTGGAAAGGATTGTCACCAGCTTTCTTTTGCTTTATTTTGGAATGCCGTTTCGTGGCTCTATTTGAAGGAATTGCAGCAATTTTACTTTATATTTTGAAGCTTTGTTGAGTGTTGTAGCTGGAACATTAGCTACTTTATGTGGTACATAAATTTTAAAATCATGAAAGAATGGATGGTTATTATTCGCTGATATGGGTGTTAAAGTAAAAGAAATGTTAACAAGTTAAAGTTTGCTTTATACACGTTGCTTCTTTCGTTTGAATAGTAAGATCTTATTCATTTGTAATGCATATGGAATATCTAATTTTTTAATAGGTTGGAAAGTGGGAGTACATCTGTTTGGGCTTTGGGGAAGTTTTACATGCGATATTTGTGCTATGTTGGAGCATTTGAAAGTGCAAAAATGAGTTTTCTCAAATTCATATTGTTAGAGGTTTGAAATTGTTTTAAACGCAGTTTTTAGGGCCGATCCACCCGTCACATTTTCGCTCTTTCAGGTGGATTGTTCTCTCCTCTCTCTCTCACCCAATTTTTCTTCTTTTCTTTGTTTACTTTTTGGTTTGATTTAGGCGCTTATGTCTGAAACATAAGCACACAGCTGCTTCCTGGGGCAAACTAAGCTGCAGCAGAAAAGAAATAAGATAAAATTTTCCCACTTTGCCTCCTCAATTATGAAGAAATGAAACAAGATCTGTGGGCATTCCTTCCAACTGATTCGTTCGATTACTCTGCTCTATTTCGTCTCTCCCAAAATTCCCTGTTCATCTACTATTCATCCTTTTTCTGTTCCTCTTGTTCGAACTCCTCACAGGGTAATTTCTAACCCGTATTTTCTCGTTGTTCTTCTTCCCTGTTAAAGCTTGCGCGTTCCTCTACGTTGAATTCCTTCACCCTCCCTGTTCACTTCTTTGCCCTAATTTCCTATTGTACTTCACCACTCACCCCTTCTTGCACTGAATCACTGCATTTAAGCAAAAATCAATCGCCTCTGCTTTACTAGATCGTGTAAACCCTTCACGCCAAAGTCTCGCGGAAAAGCAAACCACTTCTTTTTCTGCACAACCTTTCTTCGCTTCATTGAAGCTGCGCAAGCTGGACGATCCCTTCGAGCCTCTCGAATTGCTCTATCCTTCACCAATCTTGCACAAACTCAACCCAGTCGAGTAGCCTCTTCATTGTTTTCTTAATTTCGACGTCCGAGCTGCTTCTCTTAGCCGCTTGCTGCTCTGCCCTTGCCAGTGTCTCCCACGTAGTGTATGTGATACTTCTCTTAGCCGCTTGCCGCTTGCTGCTATGCTCTGCCCTTGCCAGTGTCTAAAAAAAATGATATTTTAGAGCATTCATTTGCGGGAAAGTGAATTCCCTTTTGTAGATTATTTTGTACCGTTTGAGGAAAGCAAAGTACCACATCGAGAATATTGGTTTACGATCTGACCTTTTATGCATATTCATTGAATGACCATTGCGTCTTTTAAGATCGCGTGATAAATTCACACTTTTGCTCACCGACCGCAGTGTCTGGCGACACTAATCAGCTCGTCCTTTAATATAGTTGAAAAGGTTGACACTCTCCCGTGCCCCCGAACATGGGTTGATGCCGGGAGGTTGCTAAAGTATTGAGTGGTTTGAACTATTATCACTTTAAAATGTGTAGTTTTGAACTTTTGAAAATATAATAAAGGGAATATTGTATACATAACACCCAATTATTATGGATTTACTTATCTCACATCTGTACTTTCATTTTTATACACATAACACTTTACCTATTGATGAAAATAGGATTTAACTTTTGAAAGTTGATAATGAGTGCTGCTTATGTTTGTAATTATGAAAGTTTAGGTGTGAGATAGGTAAATATGAAAGTTTTGGGTGTTATGTATGTAAAAACTTCTAAAATAAAACTTTAGCCTCTTAGGGTTTAAAATGTCGGGTACGTCGGCTATTAAATATTTAGACTATTTAGATTTAAAAAATTTTAAAATTATGACTTTTAAAACATAAACTTTTAGGGCTTAATATAATGAAAATTAGACTTCAAAATTTAAGCTCAGAAGACTGAAAATATTTTGAATTCCAGTTATTTAGACTTTGGCTCCTAGGGGGTGAAGCATAATTTAAATATGAAGTCTTTTTAAATTTTAATAACCCGCCATCAGATTCGCAATACTCTTGCTAGCGAACAAAGGACGGTAAAATGTTTAAAATGCAAACTTGTGTGTGGGATAATGCTATAATATTCATAAAAACTTTCAAAATATTTAATTGGTTTTACGACTTTATCAAGTCTTAAGATAATATTCGATTCAAATATAAATACCTTAATACTTGTGCAAGCCTTTTAAAATGTACTCTTTGAAGCTATTTGATTTAATACATGCTATAAATTATGTAAAATGTCTTCAAGATCAAATGCTACAACTAAAATTGTTTAAATACTCATATTTTCAAAAGCCTGCATGTGCTCCAACCAATATTTAGAATGCTCAAATATTATCTTCAAGAATGGTGCGCCAGCTAACCGGGCTGCTTTGTCTTTAGGATAGGGTTGTAAGCTCTACCCAACTAGGCCGATTCTCCTTCTCGCAAGTAGTGGAGTTGACGAGTCTAATAATTTTGAAATAAATATCTAAATAGTGAAATAAGAGTTTACAAGTTCAAATAACCAAACAAGTCCGATCCTCCTCTTAAGGGCATGAGTTAACTTGACATATATTTTGATAAGCTTAATCTAACAAATCCAAATGTCTCCCCTTCAAATATAAATGTTTAATTCATCTAATCATGGCTGTGTTGATTGATGATTTCAGCTGGAGATCTTTAAAGTTAAACTTTTCGAAGTAACCAACTAAGTATTTAAGCTAAATTTAAACATTAAAAGCTAAAAAGAAAATCAAGGACCATGATGACCTGAGATGACGAAAATCATGAGATCTTGATCGGGTTTCGTCTTCGCTTCTTCACCATCCATTTTAAGCTTTAAGTGATGAATTATACAATTTAAATCCTAAATCTGCTGCTATTATATGCTGAATACTCAATTCTTAGTGACTAGCCTTAATCGAAAATGTTCTCTTGTTATTGGGTGAGGTAATTAACAATAGTGGTATGTTCCTTTGAGAGTCTCGAACCTCAGATCAAAAAGTCATCGTTAAATGTGAGCGAAATCTCTGGGTAGTGTCTTATCTGCAATTTAATTAGCCTTTTGAAAATTCGGCTCTATAAGCTCGCTCTCTCTCTCAACAAATCAAAAATAAATCATTGCAACGAGAGTAGTATTTGGGAGCGGTCGTGAATTTTTAAAGCACACACTTTCATGCATAATTCAAATCTAGAAGATGCTGAATAGCCTACCAACTCAGACGGTTGTCTTTTTTCTTTGAGAGTGGCATGGCACACACTTCCCCTCTTCAAACATGAAAACCCAATTCACCTTCATCAATCCTTGGAGATTGTGCCTTTTTAGGGAAAAGAAAAACTCCTAACTCAGTTTTTATCTAAACAAACTCCAGTGCTATCTTGATCGATCAAACTTGACCCAGTCAATTAGGTTTGTATCCGATTTGAGTGCCATGTAGGAAGTGGATAAGTTGAGTTATTTATGCCGAGGAGATTGCGTGAACTTCCCCACTTCAAACATGAAATGCCAATTCACCTTCATCAATCCTTGGAAATTGTGCCTTTTTGTGGGGAAAAAATCTCCTGACTCTGTTTTTATCTAAACAAACTCCGGTGCTATCTTGATCGATCAAACTTGACCCAATCAATTGGGTTTATATCCAATTTAAGTGACATGTAGGAAGTGGATGAGTGTAGTTATTTAAGCCGAAGTGATTGCTGTTTAGCAGTGATGGAGGCAGAGGAACTTTAGCCCAATGATGGTCTCTATTGGAATTGTGCTTCCAAAATGTTAATTTTTAATGTGCAGTGGGTTGAGAGGAAGACATGATCTGATGATGTTGGTACCAGTTCGACCTCTTTCTAATTATTGCTTAAACTTGGCTCTATATGTTTATTTGGTTCATATAGGAAAATTACTTTCCAAATAAGTCGTCAAACCACTGTCTGGCAATTTACTTTTAGCAATTTGTTGATGCACCTAATCTTGAATTTTGGAGTTTTTGATATTTGCAGCCATTTTAATTATTATTATTATTTTGTTCATACATGCTTACTTTTTTTGGTTGTTCAAATTAAAGTTCACATCAATTTGTTGTTTTAAATTTTAGAGCGTTCTTTGTAATTTTTTTTTTTTTTTTTTTTATAAATCAATAGATCTTCTTGAATATCAATGGCGGATCAACTAGATCTGCGCTATGGGAAAGATGTATTTGATGCTTCTTTGACCATTGTTTTCTTTTTTGGTTTCCATAATGCAGTCTGGGATATCAATGGCGGATCAAATAGATCTTCTTGAAGAGCAAGTTAAAATGGTCACTGGTGAGATCGCATTGAATAATAGTACCCTAAAACGGCTGGTGGAACAATCTGCAATTGATCCCGAAAACTCAAAAATTCAGGTTTTATTTTGCTCTTTGATGATGTCTTGCTCTACAATGTATCTTCCATTTAATGTGGTAACCTTAAATTTCTTGATGATTTCTATATCTTGCCACCAAAATTTATACTCTATTTATACCGGAAGAAGGGAGGGTGAAGACATTTCTTTTATAAAATGTTGAATAATTATGCACTTTTGTATTTGTAATTTCTGTCTACTTGGCCTGGCTGGAAGTTATTTTAAATAACTAACACAAGGGATATTATATGCCTTATACCAACTTATCTGTAAGGCCAGAAATATCATGTTATCAGGGAAAAAGAAAAACTCTCCTCAAATGCTTTCTCATACTTTTAACACTCAAGGGATAGAGGAAGTTTTCATTTAAATACCATGAATAAAAGGCAGCTTCGTTTTGAAATGAAGCTCTTACACAGATTTAGAATTTTTTATAAAATATTTTATTAAAAAGTTAAGAGTAGGTTGACCCATTTAAAAAAAGGGAGAAATAAGAGACTTACAATCTTTCCTACACTTTCTCAATTTAACAATCACTTTTGAGAAGTTATTTTTTTTTCATTTTTGAATTTCTCTTCTTCTCTCTTTCCCAATTATATTCTCTTATGTCTTAGAACAATGCATAGCTTGATATTTTTTAGCCATCAATATATACACTCCAAAGAAGCTCTTCTTTGATGTAAATCATTTTTTTTAAAAATTTAAGTGGCAATCACAATTTTAAATAAAAAAAATATGTTGGAGGTAATTTCATTTTCGAATAATTATACTCTATTTTAAAGGAAGATTTCTATTTAAAATATATCAAGTGAAAGAACATGGTTCTATTATCTAATGACACCTTCACAAAATTTTCTTTCTTGTTTTTGTTAAAATTGATTATTCGTGAGGTGAGTGTGAGGATCATTTGGAATAATAAAGTATGAGAGATACTTATTCTTTCCCAAATTAAACTCATTACGATTCAGAAAAGAAAATGTTTTCTATGAAGTATTGCTTTTCTTCCTCCTCTCTTTCATACACTTTCCTAAGTGATACGCAGTTGCGTTTGAGGCTTTTTTTTTTAAAATTTAATTTTTAAAAGGTGTTTTGTGAGAGAGAGGGGGGGGGGGGGGGGGGGGGGGTGGAGGGGGGGCTGGTGGTGGTTGTTGGAGAAGGCAAGGTATTTTAAAAATTAGAAAGTCAATGGATGAAATTTCATGTTATAATAATCATATTTTTTCATTGTAAGCTTGCAAAACAATGCTCCTATATGCATAAATAAATGTTGTCAATGTCTAAAAAACATGCATAAATGTGCTTAAGTCTATAAAAAACCATGGACTGAGTGGTTGTGGTGGCGTAAACATCTCTAGTGGCCTTATCTTGAATAGTTTGTTGATGTTACATGGTACGGTTTCAACATCACTAATAATTACGACTGCTGCATACCTCCATTTCATGATTTATTCTCTAGCAAATAACTGTTTTGGATGAGTTGAACAACACAATACATTTTTACCTCCATTGTCGTAGAACTAGTTTCGAGTTTGGGAAATGTATCTTATCAAAACTTTTCTCATATATTCAATTGTCAGAATTTTGATCAGTCACCTTTGTTGGATTCATTGTATTTAATATATGGAAAGTGACATTGTATTTGCCTATTTGAAACTCGCTAACAACCTATTAGATGGCTAGTGGGCATTGCCCTTCTTTGATCTGTCAAGGCAGCAAGCCGAGAAAAGGATCACTGTGTTTGGAGCTTGGTGACCTCAAAAGAACAAAATGAATTACACAAGTGGAAAGAAGAAGGTACTTTAATATGTTAGTTGTTCTGAGGTTATAATTCCATGACATTAGCACTTTTATTGGCGTTTCTGAAATACATCGAGCAAGTATTCCAAAAGAAAGCTGCAAATGATTCTTGCAGTTGATGACATGAGGTCGTCAGACACTGTTGCCAGGAATCCTCTCTGCTTGCTTTTCGGATTAGCTAAACGGGCTTTAAACCATATCAACCTATGATCATTCAAATTTTTGGATTGAATAATGGAGATAGTTGATAGGCCTTTCTCAAAACCTATTTTGGGATTGTTAATGAGTGGATGGTTAGAGCCTTGATTGTCACATTGTCAAAAGTGGAAAATGGATTGTGTCAAATTTTGTCTTCTTTTCTTCTTTGCTTGGGATAATGTAAATTTTGTGAAGAGAACTGCATTCAATGAAACATGAATTGAAGTAAGTTGCAAATAGGGTTAACATCTTTGTAGTCATTGAAAAGACAAGGGTAGGATTTTGTCCCTTTGTGTTCGACATGGGCTAGATGGACCTATTTGGGAGCCAAGTCATTGGTTAATGAAAGAGGCTCTCTTGGTGTTGATTTTATGAAAATTACAGTAAAGCTAAAAGTTTGTTGATGCCAAAGTCATCCTATGGATGGAGCAAAGCCGACAGCCTAGGCCACCAAGAGATGTCAGTTTATTTTGAGAAAAACTATAGGTTAATGTATTGAGAGGATGTTAGTTTATGGAAATAATTGGTCGTTCACTTTGATGATGGTGGGATTGATCATGGGTCGAGTCAAAATGGAGGCCAACAATTTTTTTGAACCTATCAAAGTATGCAAGACAACTGAATTTGAAAATACAGTGCAATGAGGAATGAAACTTTTATCCTAGAATAGTTGAAAATGTATTTATCTGCAGATGTGTGCTACAAAAATCCAAAATTTGATTGAAATCCAATAAAATAACACTTGAAGAATATCAACTCAAATGTCCTAGATAATGAGAAGTCTTTATATGTTACATATGCATATAAGCTTGTATCAATAATTAATAGTCAACTTATGCTTGCATCTTAATGAACTTTGAAGAAGATAATAGAGTCAAAACATGGATTCACTTTCACTTAAAAATGAAAAGTGGAGTGGAAGGTCGAAGAACTTGTGACGGAAGAGAATGTCAAACCTTTGGTGAAGACTCTCATCGCGAAGAAGCTATGGGTAGAAAAACATCATTAAGGATGAATTGTGCGATTACTGTGGCTCTTTGTGATGAAAGAAGAATTTGGCACTATTGTTCAAGAGGAAAAAACACAAGAGAGATGAGTTATCATTGGTGGTTGTGGCGGAGAAAGAAATTTGAAAGTATAGGTGGGCTATTGTGATGCATTAGTTTCCATCTCTTCAATTTACAATTGCCTTGGATGTAGTCAAAGGACTCACGACCTAGCGTTTGGAGATTGTGATTTTTCTAACATCATGGGTTCAATTCAGAGACTTGATTGTTTAACACTCGTCATTATTTTAAAAAAATATGGGAACATAAATTTGCGTGTGGGGGACAAGTCGGTGGGATGAGTCGGGTGGATGGGTCCTTTCTCTGTCAGGGGGTAGGTGAAGTGGAAGGGCGGTTGGAGAGTTTTGGCAAATATGGTGGTTTTCTATACTGCTCGCTTTTTTTTTTTAAAATTCACGTTGACTAATGTGAAAATTTTAAATTGGAGGATGATTTATTTGCTATTGCACATTTATATTATCATACTCGGTCAGATATTGACTTTTGAAGTTCAACTTTATTTTTATATGCTTTTAATAAAAATACAGAACTTGAACCTTTTAAAATGTGGATAGCTACGAGGTCCCAGCTGCATAACGCATTCTTCTTACAGATTTCCTAAATTAACTCAATTGGGAAGACTATTTCATCCACATATGACTTGTAAATCAAACACAGTAGACTTGAGCTTGTAAAAAATGAGAGATGCATTTCTATCTCTCTCCTGAACCCTCTCGAGAAAGATGATATGGTGGTTTTGAAGGACGAACTAAGCTTTTTCCATTGTAGCGGTGGTCAAAGGTGCAAATAAACTTATCAATCCCTTTAGGTACCTTTGGTTGGCAGGAGCTCTTATACTTTCTAATTCTTTTCTTGCAGAAGTGATAGACAACAGTATAACATGTTGCTGTAGGCTTTTCTAATTTTTTTCTCCCAAAAGTTTAACAGACCTTGTTTTAATGAATGCAACTTTTTTTCTGAGTTGCAGATCCAAAATTTGGAAAGGGAAATTGAGGAAAAAAGAAATCAAATGAGGGTTTTAGAGCAGCGCATTATTGAAAGTAAGGAAGCCTCAATCGCCAATGCATCTTTGTTTGATATGCAACAGGTTTGCCTTTTTTGTTTTTTGGGTCAATTTGCAATAAAAAGCTTCTATAGCTGCTGCTATTACGGCTTATATATTTTTTGGCCTTTCCAACTCTTTCTTTTTTATTTCTATTACTTTGCAAAACAGACTGTAACGAGATTGATGACTCAGTGCAATGAGAAGGGATTTGAACTTGAGGTAATAATATTTACCTATTGTTAATCTATATTCTGAAATACTACAGTAGACTGGTCAGAATTTTTTCTAGCTCGTGAGATTGCTGCACAGCCTTGTTTAAAATCTCAATGCTACAAGATATGGTTATTAATCTCGTCAGATTTTGTTTTTTTTATACTTTGATTCCTGCAGATAAAGTCGGCAGATAATCGGATTCTTCAGGAACAACTAAATAAAAAGGTTTTCAAAGTTTTTTTTTTTTTAATTCATTCTTTTACCATTTTTATCACGTAGCCCTTGTTCTCTGTAATGTTTTTTTTTTTTTTTTGTAGGATAACTTTTTTAATAGAAAATCAATAAAATACTAGGGTGTGCTATTCTTGTTTTTGTATTTCTTGGCATAAACTTGCTTTTTATTGCCTGCAGTGTGCTGAAAATAATGAATTGCAAGAGAAGCTTTTGCACCTGCAGCAGCAGCTCAATCCTGTCGAAAGTGACATGCCATCTTTTACTCAGCAACAGAAGGTGGTTGAGGAGATTGGCGAACTAGAGTGTAAATTGCAGTTAAAGGTGTTTCATTACAATATACTATCAGTTGTTCTTACGTCTTTTGTAAAATTGGTTTCATTACGTGCATATGAACTTGATTTTTATGATTCAAAGCCCTCTTCATCGATACGTCTATCAAGTTGAATGGTACTAATTTTCTCTTGTGGTCAATGTCTTTCAGTTTCTTAGCAATTCATATGACACACTTTTTTATCCTGATGCTTCTCCAAATTGCAATAATATCATCAAGCTCTCAAAATGGAAAGCATTAGATTACAGTCTTTCTTAGCTACTTAGTAGTTTTGAACCCTCTATCGTCTCTACTGTTATGTTTCAAGATATTAAGAAGAGAGTATAGAGGTTTCGTTGTTGCCAAATCTGATATTTTGTTTTCCAACAAAATGTTATCTTTTTTTGGGGCATACTATAGCACTTTGTTTGTTATCTCTTCATTACTGATCCATTTGATGGCAAAGTAAGTGACACCGGGGTTTTCCTCCAAACTGAACCGGTTTGGCCCGAACCTGTTCGGTTGAGAGAGGGGGCCAGGGGGCTTAACCGGCCCCTCGCTCCCTCTTTTCATTAGGCGGCCCCCTTCCCCAAAGAAAGGGTGTGCTGTGGCTGTATCCCTTTTCCCGGTGGTAATTATCTTCCCTTACTTCCTCTCCAACCCTTCCCTCTACCACCTATTCCCTCCTCTCAGCCACAACCGCTACCCATGTTTCCTCCCCTCCTGTAACTCCTTCCACCAATAAGCACTCCTAGCCGCAAAACCCAACTTGTTGGTTTCCTGCAGCCGATCTACTTATCTCCACTAAGTCCCTGCTTTCCTTCCTTACTGTTTCCGTCTCAAAAAGTTTCCCCGCTAGCCTACAGCCTGCTCTCCACTACCCAATCCTTCCGTTAACCCCTCTCTACCATACAGGCCACCCTGTAATCCCCTCTCAACTAGCCAGCCATTATCGTAACCCATCTTCCTCTCTACAGCCAATCCCGTAACTGCCCTCCCAACTACACAATCACTATTGCGAGCCCCTTCACAGTCCCTATACTTGCTGGAATTCCCATAACTGTCAGCCCCAATCCTTTATATCTACCGCTATAAAGTGCTCTGCCAGCCACCTCATCTGCTGTTCTGCTGGTGTTTCCCTCTTTCGTCCTCACCCTGAGGTTTCTTTTGTGTTTATTGGTCGTTTATTTTCTGTTTTGACAAGTCTTGTTGTAATTTTTGAAACTCAACAATAATATTTGTGTTTCGGTTGTGGCTTGGACCATCTCCAGTATCATTTGGTATTAGAGCTAGTCCATCCCTAGTCCTATCATAGGGTGTTCTATCATTTGCTCCTATCCAAACAACTCTTACCAAAATTTTTCCCTTCCGATTCCCAAACCTACAAGAAAAATTTGACCTAACGCTTATTAGCTCCTTGCTGATTTTCAAAATCAGCAACACCAAATTAAATTATCCACATCGTTAATGAGTCTCATACGCCTTTTTTTTCCTCCCAACCTTAAACACTAGCCATGCCACTAGTAAGATACATGCCCGAGCCTTTCCGAGAGGTCATACAGTGATAGATCCCTCAAGTTTAGTAGTGAATTACATACATGGATGGTAAAATCCAATAGGAGACTACCCTCAACCGTGATCCCAAAAGTCGAAGCGGGAAACGAGAAGATATGAAGATGAAGCGAGAAACACAATGTCAGTTCCTCCCAAATTACTACCTCTAAAAGTTGCAGAGTCGAGCTTCTGAAGTGGAGGGACTGCAACACCAAGCGACCCCTCTGGTTTCTATCCAGCGAAACCAATCCGCAAGTCTGTAACAACCAGAAAATGTTGCAAGTGCCATGAATTTGATTATGGTGAAGTAGAATGCACAACCAGAGGAGTGATCTATGTCATTGTGGATGACGTCGTCGAAAAGTTTGATTGCAACTACTAATTTTTTTTTTAATAAACTCTAAACCCTATCGTATCTTGTATCTCGTTCGCCTTCATTTTGCCCTAAATCCTTCACTTATTGGCTATTTAGTATAATGATTTGTGCAACATCTAAACATGATTTAACTTAAATCTTACGAAACAACTAAAAATGACCATTTTAAAGCCCACGGGAACTTAAAGTCTGTTTCTCCTCCTTTTTGCCCTAAATTAATTAAGCAACATTAAACAAAATTTAACCTAAATCCTCCGATCAACAAAAATGATAAAAAAATGCCCTAAAGAAACTTAAATCTTGTTGCTCCTACATTTTGCGTTAAATCCTCAATATTGTTTAAACAAAAAAAATGACAACTTTAAACCATAAAAGTCTTAAATCTCATATCTCCCCCCTTTTGTCTTAATTCTCAGATATAGTAAATAAAGTTTAAAGGATGATTTTTAGGATTTAAAGATGTTGAAACTTGTCAAGTGGGATAAAAAGAAGCATGAGAAATATGAGGGTTAATCTGGTAGGGCTTAGGAGCAGAGTGGAGAGGAGATATAAACCAGACTATAGAGTGTTGGAGATTCTGGCACACCACGTTCTCATCATTGCCTTCGTTGCTTGCATGCCCTAACGAACAGGGGTTTCATATGTTTTGGTCGAAACCAGGTGATGCGAAAGTGTGAGAGCTCAAAGGAAACTTGAGGCTTGCGTGAATTTAAAGTTTATTTTAAGGGGCATTTTGTACTTAACGCACAAGTCTTTTGTATTATCATATCTAAAACTTAAATTTTATTATAATAAATTTATAATTAATAATTTTATTTTTAATTAAATAAATATTTAATGAATAATTAATCTAAAAATACTATTGTTATAATAATATATTAGTATTAAGTGTATAATTAAAAAAAAGTATAGTTAATTAAACTTTATTTAAATTGTATATCATGCATGATATGAACTCGAACTTAATTTTGAGTATTTAACAAGTTATTTGTTGAATAACAAATGAGTTTGTTCGTGAACATAAATGAACAAGTTTGACTATGTTCATGTTTAATTCATTTAAGCATTGAATTAACATGTTTAATTCATTTAAGCATTGAATTTTTGAAAATTGTTCAAGCTTGTTTATTTACTAATTTGAACGAGCATGTTTGAGTCTTAATTGAGTCGAGTTCAAGTTGTTCATCGAGTGCATTGGTTCATTTATATTCCTAATCGCACTATCCCTTATGCAGACCAAAGGAACTCATCTCCTCCAACTACAGTCCAACCACCTTCCTTCCCTCACATACTGCTCCACTAACATCTTCCACCGCCCTGCTACGACCGCGAGATACATCTTTAGTTGTGTTAGTCTGTGACTGTTGTTGTTATTTACTATTCAGTATGTCAGTTGCTCTCGTCTATTGGCTCTTTAGTAATAAAATGATCTTTCTTAGTGTTGTTTAGGTAACTTTGGTATCATAACTCTGACATCATCATTATGTGCTGCTCCCATTATTTATTTATAATAATTGTCTTTTTTTTGAGTTAGCGCCATTTGATTTTTCAATCCTAACTACATGCTTCCTTGTTAATGTTCTTTGTTTAGTTCTCAGCCATTAATCATCCATTACTTTTTTTTCTCCTATCATATTTATTTTTTCTCTCTTCTAGTTTTTGGTTATTGTTTTTTCATGTTTTTCACCCACATAATAAACTCTGCCTTATGTCACTTGATAATTTCTTGGGTACTTCTGTACTTCTGAGGGATATATCTTTATCAAATTTATTTACATTATGGTTGTGATTTTTTTTTTTGTAGTACTACTTTCTTTCTTGACATCACGCTTGATTCACAATTTAAAATTATTTTTTAATGTTGTCCTATTCCTTACTTCTGTGTAGGTGCATATAGGCTGTCACAATTTGGCCTGGGGCTTAGAATTAACCATGATGAGAACAAACAGTCGATTGATGAAAATGAATATGCATGCTGGTCTTTCATATATTTATAAGAAATCTTATAATATTTAAGACGCTCATATTTTTATAAGAAATCTTATATATGCTAATTTATGTATCGATATTTTTTTATAAATAAAAATAATCAAATTTTCCTATTTGTATTTACTTTAACTTTACTTTTACTTTATATTCGTTACATACATATACGCTGTATGTCGATCACAACCAACAAAATATAACACACCCTTAATCAATATTATCTCATCGATACAACAGTTAACAATTTAAATATCAAAATTGTCTGGAGTATGAAAACCCTTAATTTCTCCTGATCGATATTCTTCCATCGGTACAACAGTTAACAAAATGTCACAATTATTCGTTGTATAAAGGCTCTTAATTGCTTCTGACCGATATTCTCCCATCGGGACTGTGGATACGGTGTAAACATCACAAATATCTGGCGTGGTAAGTTCTGTTTGTTTGTCGCTGACCGATGTTATTCAGTTGACACAACTGTTAGTGATTTAGATATCACAATTATCGCGGGTACACTGGCTTTCCCTTCCTGAACCATCATGCAGTGAGATCTTCATGCAAACATTCATATATAAGTTATTTCATTCTTCATAACATTCATTTTTCTGAGATATTTTGATGCATTGTTTGACATGCATTTACTATGATGTGCAAAATATCCTTAAACATATCATGTATATCACTTATGTTCTGCATATTATTTCTATCATGTTTTTCATACATAGCTATCCTATCGCGCCTTCTTGCATATCATGTATATTATACACATCATGCATATTGTACATATTTTTCATGCATATCTATCTTATCTAACATTATGAAGGATCTAATTAAACCGGGACATACTTGGAGTCAAACATACATTTTGAAATAAAGATGATTACTAAAATTTAAAAATATAATTACTTTTCTAGGCTGCCGCACTGAATTCTTTGTCTTTGTTAACTAGGTAGTCGTTGTGATAACTTTTATGTTGATCTTAATGACCTGAATTTACGGATCCGTGCCTCTACTATCTTCCACACACTTTCCTCGAACTCGCCACCTCGAGTAAATAATTGAAATCTTTAAAGATCTTAGGATGTCATAATATCTTGGCTTATAAGATAATTTAGCTAAAAACATAATTGATTAGCTTAAACATATCTTAAACGGACTTCTCGACATAGCCCTACTTTCTTCGATTCTGTGAAATCTTCATCGCTATTCTTATCTTTGATTGCTCCTTCTTTAATCTTGTTGATATTGTGCTAGAAGTCTTTGCGGAAAACAACAAACCAATTTCTTTGCTTTCGACACGGCCTAGTTTATGCTACAATGACTTGAAATGAAAAAAGATGCATGATTCATAGAAATTCTCTAAAGAAAGTTTATGGAAGGAAAGACATACTTGAAATATCGTGAAAATGAGATTTCCTATTACCGATTTGACCCTAGAGCCCAAAAACGGAGCGTGAAGCTCTTGGTCATGCTCACGGCTCTGTTTGCGCTTAGGATTGTGAACTTCTGTATAATAGTCGGCGGAGGTCCTCAGGCTTGCTAAACCCGCACGCAGATAAGATGAATCGGGAGAGGGGGGGGGGGGGGGGGAGGGGGGGGGGGGGGGGGGGGGGGGGGAAGAATTACGTAGGATTTGGCAAGTCGCCAGCCCTTCGACCGCAACCAACACTAGATATCTTGTGGAAGTGAGTGGGGAACCTTAAATCGGATTTGATAGGGTAATTAAGGGTTACCTAATTTTAATTAAAATTATAATTATGTTTTTTATATCTTCCAATCTATTCATAAGTTATATATTGTGTTGAATATCAAATTGGTCATTTTGATGCATAGAATTTTATAAAATTGCTTAGCTTGAAGTCTATGGGATGTGAAATTTGGGTTACATATTAAGTCATTAAAAATTTTTATCCGATTTCTCAAAACTGATTATTACACAGGCCAGCCTCGGCTTCCACTGCTTTTTACATCTCCTTTCATATTTTCTACTTTAACTTAGTATTCTTCAGTAATTGAGCTTTGCGATCCACATTTTCTTGTAACACCCTAATGTGATAAATTGCTAATTACTTAAAATCTTATCAATTTATCCCTGTTTTAGCATTATTTTGACATGTTCTTGTTTGTTATTTCTATACCTGGGACTTATCTAGAGGCTTTGCCAACTCTTCCGTGATAATTGAATTTTGATCGTACGATGATTGCTCTTCGCAGTCTACATATTTGAGAATTGGTTGCCCCTCTTTTTTTGTAATTGGAATGCCTTAGTTGACATATATACCCATGAATGTTGCTGCATTGCTGCTCTGGTTTTTCAATAAACTGAAATGATAGTTTGCCTCCATGATTAGTATTCCATAAATTCATCTTCAACTCTCACGCAGTATAACTACAATTGAGTTCTGGAACTTCTTCAACATTAATATTATGCTTTTCAATCATTTTTTTGTTCTTTTAGATATGAATAGTAATTAATCACTTTTGTTACTCTGTATGCGTGATACTTGTTCTATATCTCATTGAAATGTTTTCTTGTTGAACCAGTTTTTCTCCCACAAACAGTGGTAATTTGGGTTCTGTTAATATTGTCTCATGACAGGAGTTTGAGAACAAGAAGCTAAGTCTTGAACGTACACAGCTTGTTGAGCAGAACCATATGCTACTTCATGATAATCAGAATTTGTCTGAGGAAGCTTCGTACGCGAAGGAATTGGCATCAGCTGCTGCTGCTGAACTTAAAAATTTGACCGAGGAGGTAACCAAGCTGTCCTTACAAAACGCCAGACTGACAAAAGAATTTTCTGCTGTTCAGGAAGTTGCTTTTTCTAGATCAGCTGGTTGTGCCATTCGAAAACATTCTGAAAACAGAAACGAAGGGGTTAAATTAGGAAGGAAGGGTCGACAATCTAGCAGGGTTGCTGATGTTGCTAATACAACATATGATGATACTGGGAGCTGGAATCTTGATTTGGATGACATGAGGATGAAATTGCAGGCAATGAAACAGAGAGAAGCTTCTTTAGAAGCTGCCTTAGCTGAAAAGGAAATCTTAGAAGAAGAATATTGCAGGAAATTTGATGAATCAAAGAAGAGAGAAGCAGCTTTAGAAAATGATTTAGCGGGAATGTGGGTTCTTGTCGCTAAACTGAAGAAAGGAGTTTTAAGTGAATCAGAACTGAATGTTGATGCATGGTCTAGCAATGGAGTAGATGTAGTTGATGATCAGAAAGAGAACAAAAATGAGTGCGGCTATGGTATTTCCAAAGATTTACAGTTAGAGGATAAGCAAATTGTGCCTTTGAATGACCAGTTTAACCATAATCCTGTGTTGGAACCTATGCTTTCCAGGTTGAAGGTAATCATATAGTTATTTTCTTATTTGTTGAGAGCTATTGGAAGCTATCCAAAACTTTGTGTTTCGAATGAATGAAAATTTATTTTTTGCACGTATTTTCCATTTTTGTTTCCTCTAATGGATTTACCATCTCGAGAAGTTGAGGTTTCTTAGTTGAAGGTTTAATCTCTTGTATGTGTTTATCTTGTATAATTATATTATTTACTCAGTTAGTTGTAATAATCTTATTTATTAAAACAATAGACCTTACTTGGAGATGAATGTACTTTTAATTAATGCAACTCTTTCTATTTAAATATCTTGATTAGGTGTAATAGAAGATTCCGTAATTAATGAATAGCTCTAGAACTATTCTTTCATCTCAAATTTTGGCTTGGTGTAATCATATATGTTCTTAAGATCTGATTAGAGAAAACTATTCATGCATCAACAAGCCAAGTATAGAAAGGTGATACCGGAGTTAACCCAAACCACGTTGCAGGATATAAATTTATTAATAACTTAGAAAACGGTTATAACGATGACTCAAAAGAAAGAAAGATACTGCGTAAATCAAAACATTGCAACAAGACTCAACATATCAATACACAACTAGTTCGACAAGGAGGGAGTCAGGAGAGGGGTGCCGATCAGTGGCCGCGGTGAAGGCCGGAGCGATGTCAGGTGAAACTTAGTCAGCGCTGGTCGAGGCGTCGAACTATAGCCAGTAGAAGCAGGAAACGTCGTCAAAGACTGAAATCCGGAGGGGGTGGGAAAGGCGGTCGAGGCCGAGGAGTGAAGGCACAAATGAAAAAGAAAAAAAAAGAGGAGGAAGGAGGGGGCGATGGGGGCCCCCTCCAAGGGGATTAACCGTTCCCGCATGAGCCTTGCGTCAGTCTTCTGGGGTTGGGGGAGTTTCAACCTCAACTGTAGAAGCTTCTGAATCCTCGAAGTACAAAGTAAGATTTCCATTGTTGAATGTGGTTGAAATATTGTATGCATTGTCGTTGAGTTTTCATAGAATTTTAATAGAGTTTTCTGCTCTGAGATTCAAGTTTTCAGAAGCTCCTACGAGGAATCACTCTTTTTTTAATTGAATCCAAATGAGGTCTCCTTCTTGAAATGTCAACTTTTTCCTTCATTTGTTTGCATGTTTTTGATATTTTCAATTTTGTCTGGCTATCTCATTATCCTCTTCGTGTATTTGCTGGATTTTGGGAACCCGCTTTTTATCTTCTTCGCTGGATTTTTGACTTCTATAGAAGTGGAATCAGGTCAAGTGTTGTTAGTGGATTGCGACCATCGAAAATGTCAAATGGGTTGCGTCTCGTTGTCTAACTTGTGGATCCGTTGTAGGCGAATTTAGATTGAGTTGGGGCGAGGTCCCGTTGTTTGGTCTTCTTACCTACAAAACACTTTAGCAGGTTGCCCAGGCTTCTGTTCACTACTTCGGTTTGATGACCTGTTTGTGGGCGAGTTATTGAACTGAATTGGAGCTTGGTGCCTAACTTCCCCCATAAGGTACGCCAAAAGTGGCCCAAAAACTTGACACCTCTGTTAGACATAATGATTTTGGGAATCCCTTGTAACTCGAGAATTTCTCTGAAGTATAAATCAATGATATGAGACGTGTCTAGTGTGGCGTGACAGGGTACAAAATGTGTCATTTTTCAAAATTTATCCACTATAATTATTACAGGTTCTTTGTTCCTTTGTCCTGGGAAGACCTAGTATGAAGTCCATGCTGACATCCACCTAGTGTGCTTCTGGTTCAGGTAACGGTGTGTGTAACCTTATATTATGTCCTCTTGTTTTTGTCAAATGACAAATCTTACATTTTCAGATGTGTCGCTTTACATCTCTTATTAGTCAATGCCAGAAGAAGTGTTCTTTGTTGAGGGTGGGAGTAGTCTCGGCCAAAATGGTCTGCGAGGTCTTGTTGACCTCATTTTGAAGTCATTACTTTTTTCCGTAGGAGCCTAGGAGCTAGTCATAGGACATTCCTATTGACTATCCTAGAAAACTAGTATCGGAATCCATTCCCTCAGAAATTCCAGCAACTTCCTTTTTCTCTTGTGATGTCTCACATTGATGATCTCAAAACCTTCGTCATATGGTCGAGTGGTTAAGGACTATCATGTGGAGACTCAATGAGAAGTGAGACTATCATGTGGAGACTCAATGAGAAGTTTCCAATGGGATCTCAAATTCTAGGAAAAATTCTTCAGGACTTCATCATCACGCACACACACAATGCACAAAATTCACTGTTGCACAAGATCAGACTTGAATTGAGCTTAAAGAATGGGTGAAAATGCGAACTTCTCTGGACGACCTCCGATGACGAAACAGACCACGCCAACACGTCCAGAACATCAAAATTACCTAAAAATGACATCCATTTTGTTATCTTGTGACGCACGAATACAAATTTACAAATCAAATTCTTATTTTTGAAATATTAAATACTTTATATTTATATTGTTACTTATAATAATAATTATAGCCCTAAACTCTATTTACCCCTTTCCCACACACTTAACCCTTCATTCGACTCGTCTCCGTGGCTCATCCGCGCGACAATCTTCCTCTCTTTCGATTCGTATCCTTCCTCGCGTGGCCGCTTGTTGACCTCATTTTTAGTGAGGTCTAGTCTTCCTCTTATGGTTTAGGATCTAGCCTTAGGGACCTCCCTTGACTATCTTAGAACCTTAGAAGTGGTGCCCGCATCGTTTTTAGTTCGACCTATTTCCGTCCTCTTTTGGAGTTTCGCGTGTGCGGTATCGACTTCTAACACTTAGAAGGATGAAACCGACATGAGGAAACCCAAAATAGATTCCTATAGGACCTTCCCGAGCCTTAGGGTGACCTTCTGCACAATTCGCACTCCTGCGCGCACCAGCTTCGCAATTCGGAGAGTCGACGTGTCCGATCGCCGTAATTCACATTGCCTGCACCGTTATTTGCCGAGGGCTCGAGTTAACCACTTGTGACGATCGATCGCGGGTCAA